ACGGCTGTTGATCTGGTTCTAATAGGTATTATGCAATTTAGAAATAACTAAAGATTTTAATGCATCTATTATCGAAATATTTGTTGGAATTTATTGCTTGGCATTAAATTCATTATTCTTACATATTCAAAATTGCAACTGCGATTTGCAATAATTTTTAGTTAAGAACTAATATATTTTATGTATTTTATAGTAGGTTGATATATCTAGAACGCGATAACTGACTTTGAAATTTTCTGAATTTTTTTCACATAAAATTAATCACATGACATTTCTTTTAAATTTTAGATAATCAAGTTCGAAATTTAAATTACTAAGTAATTAGTAAGCCGAGCAGCAATTTGAAATATTATTTTTGTATCTGCACACTGCACAAGCTTGAAAAACGTCTACGAGGTTTGCACTGATTTAGAAGATGAGATTCTTGCTGAGATGAGCGAATTGAATTGAAGGAAGATGGATTGTGAACTCTTACTTTCAAGTAAAAATTATTTTTTACTTGAGAGTTAGAGTTTTACAGACAGCACCAAAAGAGCTCCATCATTTCCTTAAGAGGCACAAAGGGATGTACTTCAAACCAAACGAACTTGTTTGAATCACTTAATTCTATGTTCTTATTATATATGTTTGTTGGATCCTATGCCTTCCTCCTTCCTCCCATTCTTAATACCCCAAAAAACCTTAGTGGGTACGAATACTCACCGACAAGTGTCGAGAGATTAGCATCCAAGGCCTAGTGTTTAGGTCGAATGCGCGCTATTTTTACTGTGCAAATCCAGTTTTTCTTTTAAAAGAATTACCAACAAGTTCGAAAGTTCAGATGTCCAGAACGAGAATAAAGGTGAGTGCCCACTACTCCTAATAAATATGTTTCCCTTATTGGACGGCATTCTCCTATGTAACACACCTATACATAGATATATTTCTCTTCCGTAACAGTGTTATCTACAAAATATTTAGATATCTTAACAGAAGAAGATTATTTTCTATCCCACTAATTGTTGGAAAATTTGATGGAGAAATCTACCTTACGTACTAGTTGCTGCATCTTTTGAACTGGTTATAAATCTGTCTAGTTATAGAACTTTTGTGAAGTTTTGGTTTTCTACCGGGTTGGTAAAATATCACTTAAACAATTCGATTTAATTAGTTTCGATGTGTTCGGTTTCATTTAACGTCTTTAAGAGACGGTTAAATGGTTAAGATGGTTAATTTGACATTAGTTTTCAAGTTAGCATTTACAAATGTATAAAATGAGATTATATCTGAAGAGATATGAGAATAAAGTCTGAAAATGACAACATTTTTGTTTAACATTTCAAAATCAAAACTTCGTAATTCGGAAATTGTTGTGTTTATGTGTATTACGATTATGTACCTAAATTCAACATTTCCGAATGACGATGTTATTATTCTGAAATGTTAAACAAAAATTAAAACATTATTCTGAAATGTTAAACAAAAATTTTGTAATTTCCAGACTTGATATAATCTCATTTTATACATCTATAAATGCTAACTTGAAAACTAATGTCAAATATTTTTAAATATCGCAGTTTCCGCAGAATGGCATCGTTAAATTAAACCGAACAGATCGAAATTAATTAAATCAAATTATTTAAGTGATATTTTCAAAAGTCAACAACTCGGAAACGGTTGATTTAAGGAACATTGTATGTATTCTAACATGGGCAGCATTCGGCAAACTAAGATATGTGTTAAAATCAGATCTACCAATGTGCTTAAAGAGGAAGGTGTTCCATCAGTGCGTTATGCCAGTACTTACATATGGCGTAGAGACACTTACACTGACGAAAAAGTCCATAGAAAAAATCCGTGTAGCCCAACGAGCTATGGAAAGAGCAATGCTTGGTGTATCTCTAAGAGACAAGATACCCAGTACAGTTATAAAACAGCGTACACGAATAACAGATGCTATATATCTGCTTAAAAAACTCAAATGGAACTGGGCTGGGCATATTGCCAGAAGAACGGATGATAGATGGACCAAGCTAATACTAGAATGGCGGCCAAGACAAGATGCTCTCAGAAACAGAGGCAGACCTCCGACAAGATGGTCAGATGACTTGAAGAGATTTAGGGGAAACTGGATCCAAGTGGCACAGGACCGAGAAGAGTGGAAGGATTTGAGGGAGGCCTACGTCCAGCAGTGGACACTTCAGGCTGGTTGATGATGATGATGATGATGTATGTATTTAGATTTTTGCTTAGAATTAAAGGAAGAACCAAAATATGCAATAATATACAGGGGGTTCCATTTAAAAAAAATTAAACTTTGATGTGCCGCGACCCTGTATACTTAAATAATAGATATTTAAAAACCCTATAACTTTTATATTTAACTTTTTTCGGTACCTCTTATATTTTACCTAATAATTGACCGCTCCCAAACATATCAGCGATCCTGTTGACGTTTAAAAAAATATCATCTTGATAACAAAAAGTTAGTTATTGTTCAGAGACAGTTAAAATATTAAAATTCACAAGTTATAATTAGTAATTAAATAATGCTAGTATATTTTATATTATTTCAAAAACAAAAACATAATAGTAGGTACAGAGTAATTTTGATATGCAGGTTCAAAACAAAAAGTGCTCTTATTTTTTTCCAGTTTTCGTTTAGTGGAGCGCTTTAAGCCTTTATGGGATACAAACCTCGGAATTCGTTTACTGTGAACAAATTTTTATAAAACTTTTTGCATTGTATTGTTAATAAGATATATTACAAAGTTTACCCATTTAAATGTGTTGCTTTCACTTTGGTTTTAAATAAACACACATATACAAATACATACATACAAGATGGCTCCGTGTTTCGAAAAAATAGTACAGGGTGAGTCAAATATATTTTTACACTTAACTTTTAGTTTTTGAAATAAAATGCTTGTTATTTGTTTAGTTCAGTGAATTTGCTATAAAATTCCGGTTCCAAAAATACCTTAATACCATAGAGTATACTGAGTGGTTTTTGAATTACGACCACGTCCATGAGGAATCTTCGTATGAGAAGAGAGAAACATCACTAAGAAACCGCCGTTTGCCAGCTTTTTAAATTTATAATGAATTGCACCTAAGAAACGTACATATTAACTAACGGACTATAAGAAGAAGACTAAATGAAGCAAATCTTATAAGGCCTGCTTCGGTACCAGAACTTACTAGATCTGTTGACTAAGATCAAAAGCAAAGGCATGGTCTTAATGTAAAAAAACTGTAATGTTAGTGTCTTCTTTAAAAACGAATATCTCCAAAAAATATAAAGCTAATAAGGTGAACCAAAAAATAAACTGCCGAGAAAGGATGTATCTAGATGATAAAACTATTTTTAAATTTCTTGCTGTTTTAACATATTCCACAGGGTGTATCAAACTTTCACCAAAATATCAACATTTCGTTTTCCCTCGTCTACTTCACAGATGGGTAGTTTCATTTTTAATTTAGAAAGAGATACTAAAAAGTAAAATAATTTGGCTACATACTGCTTAATAAGGCAAAATAAAACACTAAATCACCACAATACACCAAAACACTTTTACTTTTACACTGGACGCGCGTTTCGCTAATCATGTTAGCATCATCCAACCCTCAACTGTAATACATACTGCTTAAAAAATCATCAAAATCGGCCCAGTAGAACTAAAATATATTAAACTTTAAAATACATCAAAGTTTTCAGGTGCCCATTTTTCGTGCCGGTGAATGTATTTCAAAAACTATACATTTTAGTTATATACTTTTCTAATGAAATTTGCCTTTATTTTTTTATTAAAATCCGAAAATCAATTAATACATAAGGTGTTCCATTACAAAAAACACAACTTTCATGTGTAACTTTTTTTGGAGACACCCTGTAGAACTTTAGAAATTGACTTACATAAACTCACAAAATTTCACTTCAATACAAACTTTTGTTCTCCTTGCAAAAACCGCGTTGTATATGACGCGCCACCCTGTATAATTTGATTTCAATCAAAATTTTAATGATTAGAATATAAACAGAATAGGCGTCAAACGGCGTCAGCGATGGCTATGAAATGGAGATCGCTGTCATTTTATATGTAAAATTATATGGGAAATGTCAACGATCATCATTTCCAAGCCAACTGGAGTCCATTTTTTCTCGATCATACGGTATAACATATGCATTAGATTCATTTATTTCAATAAATTTACTTAGAAAAAAAAATTAAATAATCAAAAAATTAAGAAGGAAATAACTAAGAATTTTCTAAAATTACTAAAATAATAAAATAAAAGCAACGAAAAAAAAATGGATAAACATTTTAGTATTTTATCTATAAAACAGAATACAGAAGGTTTCAGATTAATACATTCACAGTAATTATTAAACTCCGAGGTAAAAGTCTCTGGGCACTCCACTAGTTGTCAACCGCAAAAGTTTCAGTGATTTTAATGTTGTCGGATATTTTTATTTGCGAAAAAGAAATATTGCGTTTGGATTGCAAAACTAGAAGTAGTAGTTTTATAGTAATGCAAGAAGTAAGCGTTTGTCCATTTTATATTTTACTTTTTCCATACCTACGACAAATACACATACATATATGTATATTGAATTTTTATAATTCGTTTTATTTAAAAAATGTCAGAAGACAAGCCTGTAATTGACATACCTAATTGTTATGTAATTTATTCCATTTAAATGTAATATATTACTTTACAATTAAAAAAATGTAAATTTAAAAAATATACTAAAAATATTATATACAGGCATTAATTGAAATTTTTCGTATGCGAACAAACACGAGAGGCGAATATTTTAAATATATTACCCGTGTAGCTTCCGTTTGCCCTTCAAATTCTTAAAAGGGTTAATCCGCGTCTCACGCGTCATTCCATTAATAAATACCCGACATAGCCGACCGTTCGCATTGAACTTGAAAAGAGGAAAACTGGCGCGAGATCAAATCCGAAAGGAGATGCCGGCCGCGGGTGAAATAGTAGGGGTTACACTTTTATTTTTTGATTTAATGTTTTAGACAGAGTGCCACCGATAGTACTCGGTAACCGTTCAAAGTGCGAGTGTACATGTGAGACAGGTTGGCACTTCCTCGTGTACGAAGACCGGCCGAGAAAATTGCAGACAGACGTGATCGACGTGCGTAATACTGTGGAAAATGGTTAGTTTTTAGGGTAAAAGGCTGTACGAGCTACTTGTTTTAATTCAGATGCTGATTTCTAAAATGTTATGTTCGTTTTTTGATTATGCAAATGTTAACTTAATATTCAAATGAAGAAAAATAAGATAGAGCTTAACTACTAGTAATTTTTATTTATTGACAAAATCGCATTTTTATTGAAAATTTCGTTGGTTTGTTAAAATTATATTTATATACAATGTAGCGAATATGGTTAAGGAAAGAAATATTTTTGACACCATATTCAAAAATAGTTCTTCAAAATGGCAGTTAAATATCTTGTGAGCACCATCTTAATAAATGAATACAACAATAATAATAATATAGTAGACAAACATATTAAATATTAAACATAAAATGCAGTAGAATATTCAGCCATGTATATTAATATAAATATTGATGACTTTATAACCTACACACATTTTTTTTAATTTTTAGCTCTATTTTCATGATTTTTTCTTTCGTAAACTATACAGGGTGTCCCAGAAATAAGTGCAAGTATTTTAAGGGGTGGTAGATCTCGATAAAAGAAACATATTTTCTCTTTATCGTTTTTCAAATAAGTCCAAAATAACGGAGTTATTTTACTTCGAAAATTCCCAAAAAAAAATTATTTTTTCCTAAAATTTTGAGAACCACTGGATCTTTTCTGGATTTTCTTTCTTGTAAATTTAATCTAAGACCTATATTGCCATATTATCAAGAAATTATGTTTTTAACTAAAAACTAAAAAAAAAATCCAAAAATTGTTTCAAAAAATTTCGAATTTTCAAATTTTTTTTTTCGAGAAAAAAACCTCATAGGCGTGTTTCTGGGGTTGAAATATACTACCAGTTAAAATACTTGTACTTATTTCTGTGACACCCTGTATACAGTTTACTAAAAAATCTATCAACTTAAATTCATAAACTCAGTTTTGTATAAACTTCAACTTTAGTATTTGACTGATTATAAAGGGTTAATTGAAGAGTTATTTTTTACCCTAGCTTTAAAACACCCTGAGCAATAATTTCAGTAACTTTTTCATGAGTATTTTGTTTTTTGACTCATGTTAACACATGCCTCGGTTAATTTTTAAAATAATTATCTTATGGTGTTATTTTTTAATATCACGAGATGGTTTTGAGGGGGATGACTATTGTCGTAATACCATATCGACACTGCACTAGAACACTATATTAAAATTTAAGAAACATTAAAAAGTAACGATACAGGCTGGGTTTTAATAAATATTAGTTACAATAACAGAACTAAGGATATTAAAAAAACATAATTGTAATAGCTAAGTGTACAGACAAACAAAAAACTTGTAAAAATACTTTGTATTGCCTCCCCCGGCTGCTATAACTGTCTGTAGATGTCGATTCATACTGCCAATGAGGCTGCAACTATATTGTGTTAAGTTTTCCCATTCTTATTCAAGAACCAAGAGAATATTCATAATTTCGGTCATCTTCAACAAGATTAATGACTTTTGCATAATGACCAAGCCATGTGTTGCCATCAAAAAACAAAATATTCACGAAACATGGTTCTGACCGAAAATATATATAATTTCGGCCCATCTTCAATAAGATCAATGAATTTTGCACAATCTCCGACACTAAGTACCATAGTCAATCGTAACAACAATAATCACCAAAGCCACCTCGTCAGTATGAAGAATAACATCAAAAAGTAACGATAATTGAAAAAATTGCAAAATGTTTGTGGCAAGTTCATTTTGATCTTAAAAACTAACCAATCCATGTGTTGCCATCAAGAAACAAAATATACACGAAACATGGTTCTGACCGAAAAATAATCTTTTAGGAAAATTTACTCATTAAATTATTGAACAGGGTGTTTTAAAGATAGGGTAAAAAACAACTCTTCGATTAACCCTGTATAAGTCAAATACTAAAATTTATAATAAAATGAGTTTACGAATTAAAGTTCACAAGTTTAATATTTATATACAATTTGCTAAAAAATCAAGGAAATAGGGCTTAAAATAAAAAAATATAACACTTTAAACTTAAGGAAAAAAAAATCTGTTGCGTTTTTTGCATCTAAGTGTATATTAGGACTATAATATAACTTAAAAATTAAAGAGCCATAAATATACAATATTTGATCCATAATTTAATTCTCTATTAAATTTTGAATGTAGTGGAGCAGTCAATCTTATTCTGATATTTCAAAGCTTTAATATAGGTTCAAAGCTTTAATATATTCCAATTTAATTTTATGTGCATGTTTTTAAAGTACCGCTGGCAGATAATATTCAAAAAATGGTAAAAATGCAATCTAACTTTAAATTAATATGAATTACTTTCTTTTGTCAAATGCCTGTTTTGCCACTGGGTGCCGATTTTTTTGTGTACCAAGAAGAGCAAGTATTTTTCCAAGAGCATGAAATCTAGCATCGGATTGTTGGATGGAAGTGGTTATGTAATAAATATTTCACATTTTTTAAATAATAATTATATTATTATAATTAGATATGTCCATCGAAGAATGGACAAATAAAACAAGAAAAAAAAATCCGATTTCAATGATATTTTTGGTATCTTTGTTTTGCTCGATGCTCTAACATTTGACTTTCACAAAACTCAAGAAAAAGTATGGGAAGGGTGAAAATTACCCCCACTCCTACATAAATTTTAGTGTAAATATTTTCCAACTCCACCGACGCCGCGCCGGCCGATTTTATTTTCGAAAAATGGTCCATCTAGTATTTACTACATTTTTTGTCTCTTGTAAAAAACGCCACTGGGTATAATTTTTAAGGAAAAAATATTTTTCCAAAGCTGATTTACAAAAAATGTTTTTTGTCACATCACGCTAAGGAGGCGCATATAGAATCTATTATGCTCTAGTAATCTAGTTGGCAAATTTGAAAAAAAAATGACAATAAACTTCATAAAAAGCTTAATAAAATTAATAAATTTTAATTTAATTAAAGTTGGGGTTTATTTTTAATTGATGCCCTCTAACCGATAAACGAAGCACTTTTGTATAAAGGTAAATTATGTGCAATTAACTTCTTTTGATTCGAAAAATACGTAATTGTTCTATGTTTCTATGTCCACGGAATATTGGAATTCCCTGTATATTTTTTAGGTCTGCTTTGGAAAAATAAATTCTCCAAATTTTTTTTCTCAAAAACTATGCGATGTGGCGTTTTTTATAATAGACAAAAAAGGTAGTAAGATTAGAAGGTAGTAAGATTAAAAGGTAGTAAGATTAGAAGGATCATTTTACGAAAAGAAAATCTTTCGTCGGTGGAGTTGGAAAATATTTATACTAATATTTATGTAGGGGTGGGGGTAGTTTTTACCATTCCTGTACTTTTTCTGATTTTTGTGAAATTCAAATGTTAAAACGCTTAGCAAAACATAGACACCAAAAATCTCATTCAAATCGGAAAAACGGTTCTTAAAATATCTGAAAAAGTGTGTTTATTTTATTAAGTTTGATGCCCTCTAGCGGACAAACGAAGCACTTTTGTATAGTGTGACCAACGGATCTGTAGCTACGGGGTATCGGCAGGGGAACGCAGTTGTAAACAAAACACGCCCAATTTCATTCATAAAATAGGCATGGGCGTACGGTGTTATATGAAAATAATGTGTATCATAAATATAATACTCAGATTAATATTTTTTTTCAAAAAACTTTATGCTGTTTGAATCGTTACTGTTGAGTTAGCAGATAAACACTAAAAGCTTTTATTAAAGCTCCCTTAAGTATTTTGAATCATTTTATTATTGTGTTGTTAATATAATAGAAGAAATAATTACAGCTGAGGGTTGGACCCTTTGGTGTTACACAGCAAAATAAAACACTAAATCAGTACAATCCACCAAAACACTTTTAATTTTACACTGGACGCACGTTTCGCTAACCATGTGTGCCATCAGCAGATGATCAAGACTGAGTCTTGAGGTATATTTATTTATATATCTGTACTAACTATATTTTTTTCTATAATACATAATTCTAGATATAACTATTTCCAGCAAAAAAATCTTGAAAATAGTTAACTTTGGAAGCGCAAACAAAACATAATTTTACTCACTAGTAGATCCAATATTGCCTATTACACCAGATATGGTATCGCTCCGCCAGCAGTTTTTAAAGGTTAGGTCATTGTCTACCCATATGTTTCATCCAAATAGATAATACTTGGCTATATTTTCGAATTTCGCGTATATATTTTTGCAATGCAATCTCTCTCTGCAATATAATGGGCCGCTCCATTAATAATTATCTGTTATTTTGATATTTACGCCAAAAAAATTCATTTGATTTTAATAACCCCCTAAGCATTTCCCTGCAAAAGGAAAATTCGATTCTTCCTGCAATTTTTGCAAAAGCTTTCTAATTGTGGGGACGAGTTTGAATTCGAGATAAAATTTATTTATCAAATTCCTGACCACTTCGAAAAAGTCGTCGAGCTTTTCGACAGCAGTCTCACTTGGTCGTTTCTTTCCAGAGCTGGATATCATTTTATCGGGGTTGTTTTCAGCCTTTTTTTTATCTTCTGTGTGAATTTTTTTATAGCCGATACGCTAACTCCGGTATAAAGAAATATCCGCTCAAGTTTACGTTTAAGCGGCAACTCAAGCGAACTCTCTGTAGCTTCTTCATCGCAAACCCTATTATGAACACAAGGAAATACACCAAATGAGATTTCATCCACGTTATTATTAACTTACCTATATAAATTAGCTATTATTTCTCTTGTCTGACTATGTAGCGTCTTACCCTTAACAAATTTATTCGTTTTAAAACACAAATATACGATCAAGCTTGATATTAATAATTAAAAACTATGAACGAAAAACATTATAACAAGATAACAAAACAATAAAACACAACTTAACTATCAAATATACAAAAAATATAGGAATAAAGTTTAGGATAACCGGTATAAAATAATGAAATAAAGTAATAATGCTCAAAAAAATGACACCGCCACTGGATATTTCAATAGT